ACTGTACTTAAGTACAGTAACGAAGTACTTGTACTTCGTTACTTCCCACCACTGGTTATCACATTTCCCCTCATTGTCTGCAAATGACAAGAAACTAATGTGATCATTCAGGGCACGACGGTGACATACGGCTGAAGGTTAGGCTGCTGCTCAATGTTCGCCTTACTTTTTAATACCCTGGGCTCAGATGTGCTGCTGTATCATCTTTCCAGGAAGAGCTAAAAGCCGTGGCATTTAAATGAACTGTTCAGTGCAGCTTCTTGCCCTCTCTGACCTTTCAGATTTTAGTGATCACGTTCTGTGTTACTGTACTCGTATTATTAAAAAGAAATCCACCCCTATATCTTTACTTATAAACATTTAACCTCTCTCCCCACCCGCCCCCCAGCGGGTGTTTTAAACCATCTGTATTGTGTTGCTTGACATTGAGGACATTTCTGACAAAAAAAAAAAAAATCTCTCAAATTTCTAGTTTAATTTAACATATTGACAAAACAATCTTGTATAGTCACTGAGGTTGAAAAGTTAATTTGCAAGACAAAAAGTAAAATTCTTCATAGTTACAGGTATAAATTTACAATGATGCAACAGATGTTTTCTGGTATTATTATAAAGTTTGAAGTTTAAAAAAACAACAGAAAGTTTACTAAGATTTTAAAGTAAGCTTGTTACAAAAAGCAACAGAAATCTTCTAATACTGAAGTGGTAAATTTAGGAGACGTGCATCTGGATATTTTCCGAGGTGTAAATTAATGTCAAGTCGGCACCCTGGAGATAATCTGATACAGGAAAAATGCTTTGATATGAAAATGTTCTGCATCCCTTAGGAGACTTCTGTCATTTTTCTGACCTCATAATCTTGGTAAATTTCTGTTATTTTCCCTCTAACTTTAAGAGTTATTTTTATACAAAGTTCTAATGTTATGGCGCGTTAGCATCTTGGTTTTAATATTGTAAATTTGGGCATTTATTCATGGATTTTTAAATTGTTCTGTAATCAAAGAATACCCAACTTTTTCCTTGCAAACATGTAAAACTAATCTCAAAAGTTAAGTTTTTGGCGGAAATTTACTCCTCCATTATTTTTCTTTTATCTACAATTGGTGCTATGGAGCAAAATAATGCATGTAGTTTAACAAATGGTCATAAAGGTTCATCATTTCAACGGCCAGGTTGTATCCTTACATACAGTTCAAAGTAGTATATAGGCTTCATGTAAAGGTTTCGACTGAAATTAGATGCGTCCTTCAGGAAAGGATGAAACTCTATTTGGTTTCAGATGTGGACTTCTTATTTATGGTTTGAATAAAGATGGAAGACGTTGACAGTTGAAGCTTCTTTTGTGAGGGGAAACAAAACCACCTGAAGTGTTTTATAACATCTTCTTTTCATGTCAGGTATTCAGGCTTACTGGACTCAAACTGAAGGTTGTAAACTGTATACTACAAACAAGTTCATCTCAATAAATGACCATATCACTGAAAATAGCACACATATTCATTACACACAGATTTATATATTACAAGCATTTTATTACAGCCAATGAAAACAAAATTCCTCAGAAAAGTGTATTACATAAAAATCCCAAAACACACATAGACTTACTGAAATGTATATCCATGTGCTGTACAACGTATTGGTACAGACAATGGAAGACGAAGTTTCTACTTGGGAAGCAGAAACGCTTATTGCTAAAGAAGGTCACTATATCCAGTCATATCATTGGGAAGTTAAGTGGAAGGAAAAAGGCTGGTATTGACAGAATTTAAGTTGATTTGGTGTCCAGGTCCGGTGTGAAGTTTTCAGTCAGGAACCAGTTTGGGAGCCATGTCACCTGCTTTGGTTGGACCACTGTGTTCAGTCTGTAAGGTCTACCAGGATATTTTAGAGCACTTCCTGTTTCTCTGCCCTGATGAGCTTTGTGGATTTCTCCGTCCTGAAGCATTGAGTGCATATGCTGTTTCAGAAGGCCACAGCTTCATTTTTAAAAATATTTTTTTATTGGGTTTTATGCCATATTGTAATATTCAGAGAAAATTCTGCTTCTTGTAACAGAAATAACTTCTTGAAATTTTAATACACAGCGTTTACTTTTTCAATTGATTTCCTGAAGTAAACAAACTATTTTCTGATTTGAGGTGCTCCTGTAAGCAACATTCACTCTTTGATTTTGTGCTGAGACTTAGTCTCAAAAAACGTAGAGCTCTCATCGTATGTGACTGAAAGCAGCTCCCCTTCGTACGGTTCCAGCGGAGCGGTTTTGTCTGGACACTTCAGAGTTTCCCTCCCAGCTCTCGTCTTTTCTCTTGTCTCTGTTCTCTCCTTTCTAACCTGCCTCGCCCCTCTGGCCTTCATCCTGTTTGTCATGCTGTCACTTTCTCTCAGAGGGCGCGTGGTGACCTTGTCATGGTGTGTGTTGGGTGCATTTGCGTTTTGTGAAGCTTCGCGTGCAGATTAGTGCATCCTCTGCAACTCTAATCGACTGCAGTCTGAACTAAACTCCAGCTTGACTGAACTCAACAGCCTGTAGCTGAAATTACAGATGTGTTTATTGTTGTTATACTTTTGAACAGGAACGGCCTGAATCGCCTGTCTGGAAATCCTGATCCACCTCCTGGTCGGCATTTCCCCGCCAGCAGGCCGTAAGCCAGCCCCATTATAAAATAGTGGCTCCGCTGCCTAAACTAGCCCCCATCACTCCCGCCGTCGCCCCACCCACATGCAGAAAAGGGGAAAACGAGAGCAGAATATTGAACGAACTTGTGTGTGTGTGTGTTGTAAAGAGCAGTGCCATGGCAACAGCTCTCTGTGGAGGATAAAGCAGGTGGGTGGCACTCGGCTCAGACTCTGAAGTTGTGTGCGGGTGTGCCTCCTCTCTTTTACTTTGCAGGCCTTGTTGAGCGTATAGAAGTGAAGTTGACGGGACGCCTGCAGAGCAACGCTGTGTATTGTTAGTAATTAGACACACTCACAGTAGCTCACCACTCAAAGTCTGATCTGAAGTTGAGGCTGGTTTATAGGAGTTGAAGTAAACAACTTTGCTTTTATCACTAGTCTGTGCAAATCGGCGCCACCAGCAGGGGGGTAAGCACTTGTCATCATGCGGTTTTGAAAACTTTTTTCTTTTTTTAAGCGGATATTTAATCTACCTTTCGCCTTATTGATCAAGATTGATCAAATTGATCTAGACCTCAGCTCCTCCCCTTTAGGTTAGTAGTTGGTTTCAAAAGAAGTTGTACAACTCTTTACCATACAGCACTCTCACTGCTAACTTTCTGGATTAAGTAGCTATTATTTAACATATTAAATGCATCAAATATGACACATTTGTCCCCACTAGCCATGGGACGGCATCAGACTCTGACTGGACTAAAAGATAATTATACAAAAGTTGAAAGATTTTATGAAAAATGTCATTTGTAATATTGTTAGATTTTTGGTTTGCAAGCCTGAGGAGAAAAGAAAAATAATTCTTATTCAATTCAATTTGAAAATACTTTATTTATCCCTCAGGGAAATTGGAGGTTGTCATAAATCATATCATCCAAGCATCTTCAAAGAGTTGTTGTGGATGGCTGTTCTGTGGGTAGGAAGGATTTCCTGTAGCAGTCAGTGTTTCAGCAAATGTAAAGAGGCTTCTGACTGAAGATTGCTGCTTTGTGACAGATTCATGGTGGCTCAATGTCCAGGCAGCAGAGACGACATTCTACAGCAATGTCAGTTGTTGACAAGTACTGCTAATCCACCTCGTTTGCTTTTGCCGTATGAGACTCGCGCATTAACCCCTGTGTTTACAAATGGGGTCCAACCGGCCCCACACACGTAAAACTTGTATAATTTGCCTCAGTCCTCGCACACTAAAGGGTTAAACACTATAAATTCCATGTTTGACTGTAGCGTTTGGTTCTGGTTGAGTTCTGCTCAGAGTGGATCTGGGAATTGTTGGCACAGGAAGTTAACCTCCAGCTGTTTAGCATGTTTTGTTTTGGGGGTTTTTTTGCAGAGGAGAGAAAAACAAAACACAAAGAACTGTTTTAATCTTATTTTTGAATTTACTGATATTTATTGATGCACTTTTGGAAGAAACTTGAGTAAATGGCAAAAATAAAATTTACAATCACTGAAATTTATCATGACAGCAATAAATCAAAATCCCTATCACGATGCAACATTTTTCATGATAAATGATATGACGAATTCCCACCCCTAAGAGAAACTGTGTATTCTAATTTGAACCCACAAATAACTTTGAACTATATGTGCCATAAATCCTTTCCCACAAGTTGCATTAATGTAGGTTAAAATCCAGATCCGTCTCTCTCTGATCCCTGCATGCATTCATCTCTCTCTGATATTAATTGCTGCAGGGCTTGCTGTCATCTTTGTCTCTGTGAAGCATGGGATCTATTAAAGAAGGGTGTCCTTTCAAAGTTCCAGTTAAATAGCTGACTAACGGGCCGGTCCTGTCATCCTGCTTCTTCTTGCAGCGGCCCGTCTCTTTTCTCCTCTGTCTGATAACGCGGCGGTACCGCTGCTCCAGCACGCCCGCACTGTCACATCCACTCACCATCTCTCTCTCTCTTTCTGTGTGTTTCTGTCCAGGAGGAGCAGAACAGAGGGAAGCCAAACTGGGAACACCTAAATGAAGACCTTCACGTCCTAATCACAGTTGAAGACACACAAAACAGAGCAGAGATCAAGATGAGGAGAGCGGTAGAGGAAGTCAAGAAGCTCCTCGTACCTGCTGTGAGTATATTTCCTGCAGAAACACCAACATGCGTTACACTGTTGATGCTTTCCCAGCTGCCATTGCCTTGCTGTCCTCCATCATTTGGGTGTCACAGGGAGATGAAGGGCTTTAATATGTGCTGGGAAGGTTTCCCATATTTTCATAACACAATAATGCCACTGCATATGGCACAATAACTCCACCCCACTGTTAGTATCCTGTTTACCTCCATATATGGACGAGGGGAACAGGTTGGCAGTACCTCCAGTTGAGTGGAAAATCAGAGCGAGCTGCACACACCTCCGGTGCCGGCCACATTTCATCTCCGCTCCCTCTCAGGCCAGACTTCCTTAACGCTGTGCTCCCGGTGGCGGCTGCTGGGAGCGTTGCTGGCGTGGAGTTTGTGTTTTGTGATTTGACTGTGGGGAACAGGTGGACAGAGCAGCTGAGGGCACCTGTTTGCCACCAGGTGGCAACGAACAGAGCTGAGCCGGGACCTGACCAAGTGTGAGAGCTTCAAGGAAATGGACTGCAGTTTTTCATTTGGAGCTTTGTTACATTAACCTTGAATTATGCTTTGATTTTAAGGCAAAAATATTTTCTACACATGCTGTAATGAAATGAGTAAAACCACAAAGAGGTTTTCTGCTAGCATAAATTGTTCATGATTTTTATTTTTTTCATCTTATTTGCCGATGCTGCCCAGTTCTTGTTATATTTGACACTGAAATGCTATGTTGGTGACTCGGGATTTAGTTTTTCCTTTTAAAATTGCTTCATTTTTCCTTTTCTGTTTATTTAGATGATTATGACCTGCAGTTAATACATCTCCCCCAAAGTTATGACAGTGTTCTTCCTTCATAATAATGACATGGATATGTTTTTTATTTGCTTGAGCAACTTTGCTTAATGCACATTGTCCTTCCATTCAACTTTCCATTAATATTCTATACCTAAACATTCTTCTCTTGTGTTGATCATAAAAAATAATACCATGAGATATTTCTCTTTTTAAAAATCGTTTGTATTGCTCAATAACTAAATCATCCAGTTTTTGTTAACAATAAGCCATAATAGTCATAACTAACCGCAATGAGTCCTTGGCTTACCGTCTGTATGTAGTAAATCCATTTAATGCTGTTAAGGTTTTAGCCTTGAACATTTGCTGTTTTCAGCGTTTTTGTACTCAAATAGATCTTTTAATATCTGCATGCCTGTAGACATGCAGACATATGTACAACATTTGTGGGCCCTATAACTTGAAGAATGAATCACTGTTCATGCAGATCCATTGCCACATTCACAGCAATGCTTTTACATCACTGACAGCTCTCTGAATATAAAATTCATGAAAAAAGGGCCATAAAAATAGCATCTTCACTCTTTGAGAAATCTACTGTGTGTGCATTTTGCGTCCTAACGAGTACATCAAAGATGGCTGTGAGTCATTACCTGAACCACTGGGTGGGTTAAAAAGAAGCTCTTTTTATTCCTCCGACGTGGGGGAGCAGCTTCAAGGCCTTTTGCGAGAAACCAGACACTAATGAAATCCTTTTCTCTAATTTTTCTGCTACCTTTTAAAGAAATTGTTCAGGGTATTTTTCTCTCATCATTTTGCTCATTTCCAGTTTGGATTCAAAGTCAAAAAGAATAGCTAAAAATGCTGATATTTGCCTTTTAAATAGCGTTAATAATTCCGTTTCAAGTATAAAGTGAACAATTTTGTCACATATGGAAACTGCTGCTTTAAGTCGAGTTTATTTGTATGGCACATTTCAGCAACAATGCAGGTTAATGTGCTTTAGATCATAAAAAACACAAATACAAAGTCGTAGAAGACACCATACAGTCAACAACTGAGAAAACCAGTAAACATTTGACAAATGTCATCATCACACATCAAAATGTTGGTCAGTGTTTCATTTTAAAGTCTGTTTATTCTCTGAGCTGCAGGGGGCCAGTGTAAGGACTTTAAACTGGAGTGATGTGCTTTATCTTCCTGGTTTTAGTGAGAATGCGTATAGTAGTCATACCAAAATGTTTCTTAAAGCAAAACCAGTTGAACCCCTGAAAGCAGCTGTGTTGCTTTGTGCAGCTTAGTATTATGGGCTTTTAACAGTTTATTTTCACTGGGAAAAGAGAAACCGTTAAAAGCCGAATGAATCACTCCTTCACTGTTAGAAACATGACAAAGATCACCGTGACAACAAAATAATGCAGTAAAAGTATTCTGACCAAAATGACTGGGTTCTCTTCAAATAAAATTGATTTCAGAATTGTATACTGTCCTCCCAAAACACCAGTTGGTCGTGACAAATCTGTTTCCATCTTTTATGTTACCCATATTCCGCACTCGTTTTTTCAATGTGGACAGTATTTTTGTCAGTTTTGATCCAAAGCATTAGGTTGTCTGCTCTGCTGGAAAAATGAAGATTGTCTTTAGTTTGTTTCACATTACAGTGAGTTCAGGCATTTATCCAAAACTAAAAGGTTCTAGCCAGAAAGAGGAACTAAATCTTACAGAAAAGCTGTGGCTGGAGACAAAGACCATGTGATTTCCGTACAGCGAGATTTGGGCAACTTTTGCAAGACGCTCTGCAAATATTGCTAAATCAAGCATGTGATGTGTTAGGCTTACATCAAAGAATCTTGAATTTAGCAATTGAATAAAAATGTGCTTTTTATTTTTTTTTAGGGGAAAATGTTAAAATTATTTATCCTTGGTGTCAATTTTTACTCTCTAAATCTGTTTTCTCACGAGGCTGTACCTTATTTTCACCATGTCTGTGTAGTCCAGAATAAAAGTATCATTGCAAACCTATAAATACACACACTTGCTCTCTGTTGCCCCTGCTTTTGCCCCTTTGCCCTTTAGATCCCTGAACTCTTCAACTCTAAATGAACTGTGAGCAGTGAAGCATCGTTGAGGTGAGAGAAGCAGAGACGGAGGGGAGATGGGTGGGAGAGCTTGATTGAGCTCCTCTTTCAAGTGTGGATTTATTCAACTGATCCAGGGCTACTGCACACACACATGCACACACATACACATTCTCAAAAAGAAAAGAGAAAAGGGTTTACATGCGTGTCTACACACACTACTAAAATGCTCCGCTCATCGCCTGAGTCTCTCGTTAAGGCCCTCAAACCGAGCCTTGCGGCGGAGCCTCTCTGCACTTTAGGTAACCTCCACTCAGAGAGGAGCGGCGTCTGCATGAATCCTGAACAGCCTGTTCCACTTTGCCTCCCTGCCCCTTCAAGTGCTGCAGAGTCAATGATATTTGGCCTGTGGGTAGTCTGAGCCCCACAAGCGACAGGGAAACATTCGCCAACTGTGAAAGATGCAGAAATGTCTAAAATTATGTAGAAGTCTGGGGTAAACATTCCACCGCTTAAGTCCAACTCCAACTGAATTACCTCCATATGCTGTCAGTGATCTTCTGCTGAGTTGTGTGACACGAGCCAAACAATGCCCAGATGGCAAAACACTGAAATTCTTCTGCTGAATGATAAATATTTGCTTGTCAACAATGAAAACTGCCACAACCGGATGACTTATGAGATGTAAAGTTGGCATTTGGCTCAATGAAGGACCTGGCTGGCCTCTGTTCAGCCTGAACCAAGGAGGAATGGTTTACTGTTGGCCACAAAGCCGCCAGGATTGTCCCTTCACTTTTACTGACAGAAAAATGACTGTTGTGACATTGCTAATTTAACAAAGTGAAAATGTTCATGAAAAGCCACACAAATTATTCCACTGCACCGTTTTTACACAAAGTGCACGTAATTTTTTCTATTCTAATAGTCTAACGATTCTGTTTAAACTATTTAATAATAAAGAATTATTCAGAATATAATTTTATTTTAAAAATAGGCAGACTAAATTAGATTTTTGAGCATTTAGAATAGATTCAGGACTGCCAGGAATAGGAATTGCGATTCTTATACACGGCCAGAAATATTTCCAAGAAGTTCAGAGGGTCTTTTATTGTAAGGATTGGAAAAGTTTGAGTATGTCTTGTTTTTTAAAAGCCAGCTGACCAGCAGTGCACATGTCCTAGTCTATGATCCATACATACAGAGAAGTCTGATCACTTTGAGTTTCAGGAATGACATGATTGATTGTCATTGTTTCGAAACTGTTGTAAACCTTAAGGCCAGAATGATCCAAATCTGTTATAAGTTGATGGACAAAAAAGACTGAAGGCTGTAATTTAGATTTTCTGTTGTCTTCCTGAACCAAACATCAGTACACCAGTCATTTGAACTCTCAAAACATATTTGACCTCTTTCTCAATTTCTCTGGAATTAAGCTGCTAATCTTCAAAATAATTTCTAGAATTTCTCTGCTCCCCATTTTGATTGACTCTGTAAATCCCAAGAAGAGTTAATCCTAAATCTTGCCTGTAAATGTAGAGTTAGTGTTGAAAACAAGCCCTCAGTACAGCACCCCATGTTTTCTGACAGATGAAGTTGTTGCTGTAGTGCGAGAAGTCGGCTGCTTAAAGACTCTCATGTTCAGTGTCAGTTTGTTGTCTCAAGCTGATCTCTTAAACCAGATAAGAACTTAGTCAATTTCAATCTCTGAGCTCAACCCCATATAGACGAACCAAACGTTAGAAAGATCTGGAAGGGAAGCGGCCCACAGAAAGCGAAGAGCCACTGTGAACATGGTGGACCATGTACGCCCCCCCACCCCCACTCCGACTGAAGCTGTCATTGCCGAGAACAAAGTGAGCATGCTAGCAGCCTGGCCAGACAGTGGCCTGGAGCACTAATCTCCATTTGTGGAAACCCAGTCCTGCCTCCTGAGCCCAACACGCTGCTCTCATTCCCCCCCTCCTTCTCCACACACATTCCACTCCATTTTCCTGTCACAATTTTCTTAAGATCTATTTTTAACCCTTTCTAAAGGGGTTTCTAAAGGTATTATGCACTAAGACGGTATATTCTTAACGGAGTTCCAGATCCTTAAGTTCCCCACCCCTCTTGCCCTCCATCAGTCCCTTTCTTGTTTCTT